TTAAAATCAATACAATAATATACGGACGCAGCTAATTAATCACAGTTTAAAAATAAATATTTATTAAATGTATTCTTAGTTTGATATTTTGCGAAATTTATCCAAGCACTTGAGGTGGGCCCCACAGGTAGAGCGCGATGCGAATATAAATGTCAAGATGATAATATCGTGCGCGTATAGAACACGTTTGACGTCATTGGCAAATTGTACCAAAACATCTCAAAAAGAAGAAGAAAAACATAAAGATACCTGTAGCATTATATTTATTTATTAGTAAATAATTACCGCAAGTACTTCGTAAGTTCTGGCCGTGGTTGAAAAAAGTCACAGATCTATCGTCCAACAAAATGAAAATTACTTAATTTACTAAAAGATGAGATAAATACGTAACATGCACAAATTCTTTTGATTTGTTGATTATAATTAGCTCTGATTAATTCATAAGTGTCAAACGTACGGTACAAACCCGCAAATAATAGCATTCATTCATATTCATGACGCGGATGGAATTTAATCAATGTGAGGCGTTCGGAGGCAATTAGAGCGTTACGTTTACGTGGACGGGGTATGACTAATAAGCTAATAACTTTGTTGAAGTTCGTTATTTAATTGAATTAATGTAATAAAATTTGCAGAGTACGTTCACACGCTACTGAAAGTTTCCGATTATGTTACATATTGTAATTAGGTAAGAAATGTTCTCGAATGCGAAAGCGTAGTGTAGAGCGATCTCTTATTAGATGGGAATAACTACCCAAACAAAGCGTGCTAGAAGTAGGTTTAATCAAGTCAAGTATGTTTTACAGAACCGTTTTTCGTGGTACCTTATAGAGCCATGTTAGTGATGGGGATGATTGGTGTTTTGGAGTCATATTATGGTTGTAACACGAACGGATCGGCTCAACCGGGGAAGGACCACGATTTTAAAGAATACCAGCGTAACGCTGCTGTTTCGTTTGGTAAATGCAGAGAACCGGAGACCCTTTTAACTAGTAATAAGTCATTCCAACTTAGTCCAAAGGGTGATATTGATAACCCATCTACAATTTAATTCATAATTGGGGTAGGTCACAGCATCCACTTACTATCAGGTGGGCAATGCCCACGATTATAAACTATATTATTTATAAAAATATAAGGTACAAAATGTGGCAGTTGGTTCAATGTTTTAATCATAAATATTTTATAATATTGTGATGTAGTTATAATTTTGACGGCACGATACGCAGTGACTACGTGTTTGACTGCGGCACTGAGGCCCCGAGCCGAGTTCAATTATTTTAATATAGAACATGTATTACCTCATAATCATCGTTCCGTGTCGGGGGTGTGTGGGGTGGTTTGCATATTTTTTTTGTAGGATAGGGTGACAAACGAGCACACAGTCCCCCTGATGGTAAGTGGATGCTGTGGCCCATAGACATCTACATCCATCTACGATTACGAATCAAAATGCAGATGCGTTGTCACCCGTGAGGACTAAGATGGAATGCCTCGTTTCCAGTAAAAAGAGTCTTCGGTTCTCTACACTCAACATACGAGACACAGCTGCTTGCTGGCTAATTGGTTGTATTTAAACACTGTAATCTTTGTAAATAGGCTATAATAATAAAATAATTAAAGTGTAAATAGGCTGACTGATATGAAATGAAATGAATACTCTTTATTTTTCGACGTTGTCAGGAAGATTCTACTGCTGTTTTTGTTCCAGTTACCTTATGACGCCCCCTACCACATCTACGTGGGTACGATATTGAATTGTGAATTCTATTATGCTGCCGCTTCACCAGCCAGCTTTTTTTAATAGGATAGGGTGACACAAGAGCACACAGTCCACCTGATGGTAAGTGGTTGTTGCGGCCCATAGACATCTACATCTATCCTCGATTACAAATCAAAGTGCAGATGCGTTGTCACCCGTGAGGACTAAGATAGAATGCCTCGTTTCCAGTAAAAAGGTTCGTTCTAAACATAGAAATCAGCAGCATAAGCTACTATTTACGCGGTATTCTGTAAGAGCGTGGTCTTTCCCCGATCGAGCCGACCCATTCGTGCAACAACTATACTACTAATATTATAACTGCAGCATGGCTCTACCACGTATAAAATGTCTCTACGTGCTGCATATACAATTTATATATCTGAAACACCTCCACAATACAGGACTACTTGAGAATCTATAAAAAAGGTTATTTAACGAGGAAATGCAAGTGCAGTGTAATGTCGAACAGTGTTATGAGGCATTGTGTACGGCGCACAGATTGTCCTCGTAAAATGATGTCATTTGGCAACGAAAGCGGGCACCGCGACTGTAATTGTCCAGTGACATCATATTGAGTTGTTTCCCACCACAAGCGTGCTCGTAATACTTGCAGTTTTTTAAACGTGCCCTATGCGACGAATTAAACCTTATTAATCGAATTCATGCATTGTGTTATTCTAGTTCACATTTTGCCATAATTTAGATTCGACATCGGTGTACGTAGGTTGAAAACGAAAACCAGCGTCGGGCTTTTAGATCGTGACATGAAGCTGATCTCTACATAGTTTATTCGTTTTTCTTTTTGCCTTTTATGGTTGTCTCTACGTGCTGTATAATACATGTTTCTTACTTCTTTTATGTCATATATTATCACTTTAATTTGTCTTTTGTGAAAAATATTAAACCATACTAAGAATTTCTTCTGTATCGCTGAGATGTTTCACATATTACGTAGAGTACACTTTGACAACACGCAGAATCTGGAGCTATTGTTTTGTAGGGCGGAATTCCACACTTACAATCTTATACTGGTAAATAAAGCTAAGAAACTTGACGATATAGGACAAATACGCTGATGTTTAAAAATAAAAATAAATACCTATATTTTTTTATAGCGTAAGGGTGACAAACGATCACAGTCCACCTGGTGGTAAATGGATGCTGTGATCCATAGACCTTAAATAAGAATCAAATCTACATTTAGGTTAAAAATCAAAATGCAGATACTTTGTCACCCGTGAGGACTAAGATAGAATGCCTCGTTTCCAGTCAAAAGGTTCTCCGGTTCCCTACACTCACCATACGAAACGCTGCTATTTTACGTTGATTTTCTGTTAAACTGTGGTCCTTTCCCCGTCGAGCCGACTCGTTCATGCCACAACCTTTAATATAGCTACACAACCATAATATAAAAGTTAAATGCAATTTTTTTAATTATACATTAACATTAAAATATAATGTGTTGGCTTAAGGGAGTCCTCTAAGTACATCTTGTCCTTTGGAATTTGATTAAATTAAAATTTGTACACCTACCAACTAACCCATACATACTAAGCACAAACCATAACACATAGAAACAAGCGTAAATTAGCAGAATAATGCTGTGCTTTTTATGAGGGTTGAGAATCGAAAACTACATTTTAATCAAGAATAGTTGTGGTTTTTATGAGCCATAACCATCAGGTAGACTTTGTGCTCACATATATATATAGCGCAACCTCGATATAACAAATCGAAAGGGAACAAGTAAATATTCGTTAAATCCAAGGTCCGATTGGCAGACGACTAAAATCGGCCTTTATAAAGTTAAACTTTATTGCCTCGTAGGTCTAGTGCTCCTTAGCGCGACTATTAATCAAGGGTTCTGGGTTTGAATCCAGGCACGAGGCAAAGTCAGTTATTAGATTTTTCTGCAGCAACTCGGATTCAGAAAGTTGACGGTGTCCCATCCCCGGGCCTCAGAATGCTCGTAAAACCGTTGGTTCTGCACCTAATCTCTCTCCGGTTGTTGTTATTAATCAATTGGAGAAAAACCTAATTATCAAGTATTAACTTGTTAATAGAATAATTAATAATACATTTTCAATAGTATTTTGCTAGGATAGTACGTCTGTACAACATCTAACACTTTGTTGTACAACATCTAACACTTTGTAGTTTACAAATGCGCGAACTACCACAAACTAAATATTTATAAACCCAGCTTCCTCTCAGGTGTCGATATCATGATACGTTGCTGAATTTGTATTTTTGTAACCTAAACGAAAACTGCTAACATCGAACTCTTAACATAAATATTCAAAATGTACACCTAGCTTTTTTTCATTTACAATGTTCACTATCGAGATCGCTGTCATTACATGTTACAGTACAAAATTAAGATTACATGATTATAACATTATAACTATTATTAATATAAAGTCATAAATATTAAAAATGTTAGTCTAACTCATTGTTTTGGAATCATCGTAAATGTTCACATACCTAGTCAATCTTCGATATCAGTCTAAGCAAATTTTAAATAACGTTCTATAATATTAATCACATGTATTGCAGCCTAAAAGTCTACTTCTGAACATAGGACTCCCCCATAGATTGCCTCATGGAGGGGATTTTGACATATTTGCCACGCTTGGCACAGTTAGTTAGCGCAGTTATTTATCATTTTACGTTGTAACCAGGAACACATCTCCTGTTTCAGTTTCCTTCTGTCGACTCTTACGGCACTAGGGTTGTCAGATGGTCGGGGTTTGTCTGGATTCTCCCGACATTTTAAATCATCTCCAGACAAAACGCTAAATTTCCAGACAAACAGCTTCTCTTTACATCATAGCTGCCTTTGATTTAATAAAAGCTGAGTTAGATAATTAGACTGAACTTTGAAGTAAATTGTTGGAATTTTAAATATTTTCTAAATTGGTGGACTTTAGTAAAGTCCAATACACGTGGCAACCTAAAAATTGAGTGTTATGACTATGGCGCATTAGGGCCGCGGGTTGAAATCATACACGGAAGACAAGTGTGTGACTTACAAATAATTGTTTCCGGTTTAAATGTTTGTACATTTGTAATGTGTTTTTGTATGTAAAGCGCTTTTACGATCTAGTAGAAAATTCTCGTAAGGGAGTGACGTTTCTTTCACTATACAAAATATTTATTTATAACAACATATCGTCGATGACTTTCTCGTACTGGACATTCCAATCAACATACTAACTACTATTGTTTTTGTCTACAGACAGTGCAACACGGCTTTCCACACAGAGCTTCCGCCCTCGCGTGGGACCCTATCCTTCGACTTGCGGCTCTGGGCACAGCAACCGGAGCCCTCAAGGTCTACGGCCGACCAGGCGTAGAACTGTACGGGCAGCACACCAATCCCGATTCCGCGGTTACACAAATTCATTTTATACCTGGTAAAGACCGTTTTTATTAGTATAATTTCATAGCCTTCATGACATTAAACTAAATCGATCGGATACAATATTATTGTATCTATCATATACATAGGTATATATTTTTTATAGAATAAGTGTGGCAAACGAGCATACAGTCCACCTGATGGTAAGTGAGTGCTGTGGCCCATTGACATTTATCCTCTATTAAGATTCAAAAATCAGATGCATTATCACCCCTGAGGACTACGATGGAATGCCTCATTTTTAGTAAAAAGGGTCTCCGGTTCTATACATTAACCATACGAAACACAGCAGCATTATTAAGCTGGTATTTTGTGGGAGCGAGGTCCCACCTCGGTCGAGCCGACCAATTCGTACCCATATATTCACAATCAGAATATAGCTGCAGTGTGGCTCTACCATATATATACGTAATCCAAAACAGAATGAATTCACATCGTAACTTTTGAAATCATAACGAGACAATATGCAGTTTTTTTTTTTATTTAAAACATAAAAATTGAATTTACTCCTGGTTGGTGGCGGATAATTAAGGGTATTATTAATGTTCCTGACATTACTGCAGGAGATGTTAAAATAACAATCTCGATAAAGCTAGACGTAAATAACAGACCGATGACGTAGCGTCAAAGGTAAATAATTGCCTATCTAAACTTTCAACCAATCAGCTTGTCAACCCTCTTTGGAAAGACTTTTATGTCCAGCTGCTGCCTGAGTAATTACGATGACAATGACTACGTACAAGAATCATATTTCATTAGTTATGATTCATTTTTAATATCTGGGTAACAAATTAATTTATTTACAAGCACGAAGGGATTCCTGACGACTGTTTATAGAACAAATTGGCGACCATATTGAAGATGGGCCCGATTAAGAGTACCTCTAAGCGGCGAGCATGTCTGCGTAAGGTATATGGATGTGAAGTAAGCGAGAGAGGTGTATCAGGATCGTGCCAAAGACCGAACGTAGAAGTCCGTATTGTATGCCTACCCCTCTGGATGACAGGCGTGAGTGTTTATGTTTGTGAATAAAATTTAGTAGCTCTATCTGCGACCAATTATATACTAGATTAAGGATCAGGAACAAAAATAAGTCGCACAAGTGGCCACGTTTGCACACACATAAACATCTATCTATCTTAGAAAAAAGTTTAATAACATTAACAACTTCAGTTTATTATAAACCTTAATAACACTCTAACATAAAGTTTAATCACCATTGCAAATTTATTTAAGTCCTTTCATCAGAGAAAGGTTAAAAGCAATAAGTTTAGAATGTCGCTTGAAAATAAAAAGTCATAGGTACAAAAATATTTATTCTAAAATGAAACTTAAACTCATAAGTAATAAGGTTAAAACATTATGTTGACATTTTCGTGCTTACTCTAATTTGGTAGTAGACGTAGTTCTTGGTATTATATTTCAATGCTCGGAACACAGTAAGTATTGAAAGACGTAGAGTTGCAGAATATAAATATTTTAGGGCAAGGGTCGTTTTGTATGGTGACAAATATTTTTAACCGATTTATAAAAGTAGTAGGACTAAGTAGTAGGTATTCAATAAAAGGTCGTCAATTTCTTTTTTAAATACCCTTTTCTAGGAGTGTCACATATCGATGTTAAATATAATGATGCATCAGGAGACTTCAAGCAAACTGCATCAGCGCGAGGTACGTCACGTATTTCTGTGGTATCTTTAAAAGTTAAAGTTTATTGAAAATAATTTTAAAGTATTTCATGAAAATATCTACAGGTATAGTTTTTTTCTGATAAAGATTTTTTCTGATTACCTGATGTGATAAGTCGTCATTCTGAACATAAAGCTGATTGCACTTTTATTGGTCCGTGAATCTAAAAAAGTCATAAACAACTTACTTTTTTACCAAAAGCATTATCTTACACTAACAATTGTACTACTTTATGGTAATTACCTGCAATTTGGGAACCGCTGTTTTTAGTAATCTACGCCTTTGCGTGTTTCCAGTTATGTCCAATCTATCAAAATGAATCGAACATATTCTCGAATTTTCAGATGGGTTGTATATATAGTTCTTCTCATCTTTCTTTCGCGACGATAGATACTCATTTTGCACAGCAAAATGGGTCCCTAGGAAATCTACAAACAAAAAAAAATAAATGATAATAGTACTCCATGTATATTTGTTCAAGAACAGTCGATGTTTGTTACAATCCTTGTTACGTTGTAGCAAACATTGGCCAAACAATCATAATATTAGATAATTTAATTATTTTTGTTATTTAATTCTGTTTTTATTTTATGAAAAACACTTAAAGATATAAACTTATTGTAACCTACGTATAAAAAAAGATATTTCTTCCAAAATCTTAGTGTTACGTTGGTTTTTTGTACAGTTTGTGAACGCGCATTGCGGCATTTCGACGTTTTAACGTTGGCTATGATTGGACCATACTAATTTGAAATAAGACCACAGAAGTGTTTGTGGTCTTATTTTTCTGGCCGTTTTTGAAGCGCTTATCGGGAATCTAGTATATTATTGATCGAAGAGTTCTATAGAACTTAGTATCATAATTAGATTAAACCCAAATTGAACCTAATTGCTAAATTATCACACTGCCAGATGCTAATTAATGTAACATGTGAATTCTTAATTTATATTCCATTTTAATGCAATGCCATGCGGAGGATCATTAATGTTATGCAACTGGTCTTCATTCGAGGCAGACGAGCGGTAATTAGGAAAACGTAGCTGCTTGATGACTCATGATATTAATTATTTCGAACTACATTATCTATTACTCGGCTTGTTACATATTTTCACTATTTAAAATATTCGAAAATGGCTATTGTTTAAAATATATATTTCGAGAATCATTAATTAAATTCCTATCTCCTCATACCATTAGGAACTTGTAACAGTTCATTCCGCAAAGAGGATTTTCTGTGATCGCCATTTTGACAGACCCTCACGTCCCCAAAAATTTTTCACTCCGTCATTGATCTGAAAATTTTATAGTTAGGAAGTTTTTGAGATTGATGTGATGCATTTTTCGTATTTTGTCGTTTTTGACTGTCTCGTTGGTCTAGTGGTTGTAGTAGTGCAACTGCTGGTCATGAGGTCGTGGGTTCGAATCCCGGGTCGGGCCAAAAAATCAACTATTGAGTTTTTCCGTCAAGAAATCCTCAGTAGCAGCCCGGAGTCAGAAAGTTGACGGTTTTTCACCCCCGTGCCTCGGAAAGCACGTAAAACCTTTGGTCCTGCGCCTGACCTCTCTCCGGTTGTGTGGGTTTACCGTCCTATGGGATTATGAGAGTGAGGGAATTAAAAGTGCACTTGTGCTTGCGCAACACTTGTGCACTATAATCCTGTCCTGCGCCGATGGCTAGTCTCCGTGAGGCTGGCTGCCGTGACCGAAATTTAGTCCAGAGGACATTATTTGTCATTCTCGGATTATAACCTTATTAAACATTGAATAATGGTTTTATGGCAAATTATCACTTTACGTTCATTTAGTAAAGTAATCCAGGTTGTGCAAGCGTACTAATCAAAGCAAAACATTCACAGTGTTAGTTATAACTTATTAGAATTATACGACTGCCTCGTTGGTATAGTAGCCGTAAACGCGGTTGCTGGTCATGAGGTCCCGGATTCGAATCCCGACCCGACCAAATTCAATTATTGTGTTTCCCTGTAAGAAATTACTTTATAACTTAATACTTTGAAAATTATGTAAATCCGTTGGTCCTGGGTCTGATCTCTCCAATCGTATCGGTTTATCCTCCCACCATATGAAAGTGATGTAATGGAGAGTGCGCCTGTGCTTGCGCATACACTCTGGCACTATAATCTTGTCCGGCGCAGATGACTTCCGTCAGGACTGGCCGACGTGAACGAAATTTGGTCTGGAGGGACAATATTATTAGAATTATTAATTTCAAAGATTTCTAATAGTTTAACTTACGCATACAGTTAAATACAAATATACCTGCTATTTAAATAGTACTTTTAAAATAATAGAAATAAAATTATAGTCAAGTGTCGGTTTGCTGACCATCAAAGAGATGGAATCTTGTCGTATATACTTTGAGTACGGAATAAACGGAAAATCTATCCTTTTTGATTTTCTATATTTACGCGAACACCACACGTTCATTAAAAATTAATATTCAAAAACTGAAGATAACTATGACATTGGGACGTCAAACATCTGAGTCCCTCCCAAAGGCCGGGAATTATAAATAAGTTAATTAAACGCAATAAAATCCGTGTAAATAGTCTAATTTTTATTTATTTATATACAAAAATTTACATTTGTAATGGAAACTAAATATAGACGTTTTGTTACCTCTGAGGGCTAAGGGGGAAACCCTCGTTACAAAGTTGTCGTCTCGGAATAGAATAAAATAGAATATTTTTTATAAAATATAGATTATTACATAATACCTATTGAAAGAACCTATTTATTTACCTCAGGTTTGTAAAACACCTCCGTCCCGGGAAGAATCAGCAAGAAGCACAGCGGGATTAATTTATTCCCAGACTCGTAAAATTTTACAATATATTTGTACTGTTACTTATATTACTATTTATACTAATGTAATAAAACGGAAAGGTTTTTTGTCTGTTTAAACACGCTAATCTCTGGAACTATCAGTCCGATTTGAAAAATTCTTTTTGTACGTTATAGTCGGATTCATGAGGAATAGTATAGGTTATGTAGCATTAGGCTACACCGCTATCAAGCTAGCCTTAAATATAGATTTTTGTTAGGCAAGTCAGAAGAAAAAGCGCTCCCGAAATGGTTTATCCGCTTGCGCTGACTTAATGGTTAGTGATTCGTAAATACAATGTTTTACAACAATATATATCTTTATTTATCTGGGATGGTCGAGCAAGTAAATGAATTTATATATTTGGGACGTATATTCAGCAGGAATGGGAGATATGTTAAGAATATTTAACGACGAGTGAATGCAAGAAATAAAGTAAATAGGGCTCTACACTCTATTGTGAA